CACACACACACACACACACACACACACACACACACACACACACACACACACACACACACACAGAGAATTAATTTGAATTAATTTGAATTTAATGCTCTGAAGTGTGTTTGCAGTGTTTCATCAATAAAAACTTGTAGTTGAATAATTTCAATGTATATTTAGCTTTTTTTTTAAATAAAAAATGGTGATAATGAAATTCAAATAGCACATAAATTTAGAATGTGTTTTTCATCAATAAAACTTTTCTCAGTGCAAAGTTAATTTCTGGAATGTATATTTTGGATTTTTAAATGAAAAATGGTGATAATCAGCCATTAAATTGTAATTGCATCTCAAAAATGCTCAATAAAGAGCCCATTATAAATTTAGACACGTATATGTTGAGGCATCAGTTCCCAGCAGGACTCTACATGTTAATTCTACTTGAATGCAAACTAAGTCTGTATGTAGGAATGTAAGATTTCAAAAAGACAAAGTGTCAAATTTTTAAACAAGAATCTTAAAGGAGTTGTTCACCCAAAAATGAACATTCTGTCATTCACTCACCCTCATGTCATTTCAAACCATATTAAGAATGTTGATAACCAAACAAGTTTGGTTCCCATTGACAAAAAATACAATGTAAGTCAATGGGAACCAAAACTGTTTGACTATCAACATCAAAATACTGTATTTTTGGGTTCAGAAGAAAGATGCATACAGATTTAAAACGACATGAGGGTGAGTAAATTATGACAATTTTTTGCGTGAACTATCCCTTTAACAAGTTGTCTAGTTAGCCTATTTGTTTAGTTGTCTATCACAACTGTACAGTAGCATATCTCTATGAGCTCTGACACCAGACTGCCGCATTACGGAACATGCTAAGCCACGGTGAGGCCTCCAGTGATCCCCTGAGGTGCTGAGGGGCCCAAGCCCACTGCCAGCCCAGCACGGCCCGCTCTGGATGGGGCATAATAGCCAGGTGACGGCCATCTGCTGAGCAGATGCCTGCAACACCTTGCGCAGAACCATTGGGGTTCATGGGATAGATTTCAGTCGGGGTTCCCGAATCATCCACATAACGCAGAGGAGCCAAAGAGGCACCGATCAGCTTCTTCTGAGCCTCAGGAGAACGAAACTGCATCAGACCTATAGAACAAAAGAGGAGTTTTTAAAGTCTGTGTGAACCGGAAATTGCTGCCAACTTTATTTGTGCAGTGACATATTTCCAACTGAAACGGAATATTGAATAGAAGACAGGGTTTAATTTTAGCCCTCCTCCTCTCCATCTCTCACTAACGGTTGGAGGGGCATGGTTCGCCCAAGCTGTCAAACTGACATCATCAGAGAAGGAATGCCATTCCAGAGCGGAAGCAAATATTCAGATTTTGATTAAAGATTACCAAGACAAACACATTTTTTTAGGTGGATTAACTTGCATGGATTAATTGTTCTCCTCAAAACTAGCAATGTGCGCTAACAAAGTAAATAAAGTCAATTTTGATTTCATTTTATGAGGACCAATGTCAAGGTCAATGTCACACAATCATGTTCCTTCACAGAAGAAGCCAAATTACTTGTGTAATCATTGTCAGGTGTGATCATCTACCGCATGCATTATGATAGACCTATAGAAAAAAATATTTAAATATTTTTCTTTTCTAAGAATGGCTTAACTTGAAGTGCTGTAAAAAAAATTTGGATAAAAAATATTATTTTAAGGTACTTTGTGATATGTTGCCATACGGCAACAGCATACAATAGTGGATCTAACTTAGAATAAGTGTAAGCTTACTTATAGTTAATATTTTTCCTCAGAAATGTTGTTTGTGTTGATTCAATTGGTGCTATTATAAGCTTTAACAGTACTTATAATTGACACCTTATACATACTTTCCAACAACTTGTGCTTTTATTTATTCCATTCTTTTTTGCTGAATAATGATTTATAATTTTTTTTATTTCATTACATTTTTCATTAATATTATTTAAACTGCAAAATTATACAGTTCAAACAAATATAATACTGTATATCATGTATCATAAAACACTGACATAAAACCAAAAACATTGCAGTTCATGAAAATTCAGCATTACGCAATCTTATGAGGAAGACTATGAACATGAGCCCCCCCATCAAGTCAAGTCAAGTCAAGTCTGCTTTATTGTCAATTCTTCCACATGTACAGCACATACACACAGAGAATTGAAATTGCGTTACTCTCAGCGCGCCGCCATCTTGTCCAAGCAAAAAGGACAAGATGTTTGTCTTGTCAAGATGTTTGACTTTGTCATGTCTTGCCATCCCTCCATCCCCCCATAATCCTTGAAAGATCAACTTTTTAAATGTATGAAACTTCACAAAGCAGTTTTTTCATCTGCAGGAGGAGCCAGTTCTGCCCTTTTCTTCTTTACCTTGCCATAGAATATGGCCATGCTCACTAATGTAATGTTACCTGTATTCATATTTAATCAAAAGTAAAATTGCCATTTCAATTTGATTATATCCATAATACAAATGCCATTAACATACGACTAATCTACATTATTTCACTAGTATTAATGTTGTTATTGTTACAGCTTAACAAATTGCAGCTGACCTTGCTAGCTAGCTAAACTATTGTAAGAATGTCATTCCACTATTGCACAGTGTTGCCGCTTGGCAACACATACATTTGAATGATTTACCAAAAACTAATTTCATAAAAACTTTTTGAGAGGTGAGTATGTCATCATAACATCATAACAGTGATGTTTCCGATTTTTTTGTAGAAGTGACACGGACTGGTCCTTGCTTGTTACTGACGTTTTAGTTTGCTTTCAGCAACTACCGACAAGAGACAGCAGTCTGTCAGAAATCTCGCCACAGAAAAAAACTGCATGTCATGTGACTTAAAGCACATCATTGGCTAAACTAAGGTCTTCTCTTTCCAACAAAAAAAAACGAGAATGTCCTCTTAAAGAGACAGTGGCAAGGAAATGAACACAAAGCGTATGTTGCCATATGGCCACACCATGTGGTAGAGGGTTAAATTGATGGTGATGCAAGAGTCTTAGGACACAGCTGTGTGATTCTTTTGGATGTACAAAGCCTATCCTGCTCATGAAGTGACTGATAACATCAGGGTTTTGTCACTGAGGCCACACCAACAATTGGTATAAATTCAAAGCCTCTAGTAGTCTAGAAGTAGAGGCGCATGTTGCTCTCTTTGAACATGGCTAAGGTGAAGAAGGAGCTAACAAGTGAGCAACGGGTTCAAATAAAGTCCCTTTTTGATGCTGGCTAGAGCTACCGCCGCATAGCCAAGGACGTGAGATGCAGTCCAAGCACTGTAAAGTACACTTTAGACCGCCATGATGCCACCAATTCACACCAGAACCGAAAGGGGAGAGGTCGAAAAAGAAACTTTCAGACAGACAAGTGAAGCATCTCTAAATTCTCAGTCTTAAGGACCAAAGAAAGACCTCATGAGGACTGCGTGACGAGATCAACACCTCGATGACTAATGGTGCAACAGTGTCTCCAAGAACTGTGCATCGGAAACTGGGAGAAGGAGGACTTGTTGGCAGAATAGCAGCAAAAAAGCCATTACTGAAATAGAAAAATAGAGTGAAATGCCTGAAATTTGCAAAAGAACACAAGAAATGGACAAAGGAAGATTGACATAAAGTGTTGTGGAGTGATGAGTACAAGTTTGAACAGTTTGGCAACAAGCGAATAGCGTATGTTCCGACAGAGGGAGGGGGGGGGGGAGGAGATATAAAATTGAGTGTCTCTTGCCAACAGTTAAACACAGAGGGGATAGTATTATGGTGTGGGGTGCCATTTCAGCCTCAGGAATAGGTGACTTAGTGAACATTGATGGCATCATGGATAAGAAAGTATACCACAATATTCTGAGGCAGAGTACCTTCTGGGAGTCGTCTTATTGGGCATGGATTTATTTTTCCAAGAGGACAATGACCCTAAACATTCTTCTTACTATTGCCAGAACTACCTGCGATGGAAGGAAACATTGAAAATGATGGACTGGCCCCCTCAAAGTCCAGACCTCAACACCATCGAGCAAATTTGAGGCGAGTTGGAAAAAAAACTGGACAGATCTACTGTACATTCAAAGGAAAGCCTTTGGCTTGAGTTGCAGAAGGCATGGGATAAAATTAGTGTTTAAGTTCTCAGGAAATACAGTATATTGACACTATCTCAGAGAAATGGATAAAAACAGTATGACTCACTTCATCTGATATTTGTTGTGCTCAGAGCAACCATCTGCATGTTTCATGAACATTATAAAATGAAATCATGCTTTGGAGGCAAAAAAAAAAAAAGCCAATATTTTCAGATCTGTCAGGTGTTCTAATAATTTGGGCCACCACTGTATTTATGATGAAAATAATTATTAAAAAGTCTAATATAATTTATAATGGAAAAAAAAACTATTAAAAAGTATATTTTTAAAACTATTTTTTAAAAATATATTATATTTTTTCTTCTTATTTTTCTAGTGGTCTCAGACTTTTGGAACTCACTTGCAATAGAAGTAAATGCACTTGTCAAGTAGTGTTACAATGAACATATTTCTAACCTTCTCCATGAGCGACCCAAACGCCCAGAGCAGATCCCTCCATTCCCTTAAGCATGATGGCCGGAGAGCGCAGGATACCTATACTCACAAACCTCGATTCAAACCGACCAGACTTATTATGGGTCAGAGTAACATCAGAATCTACAATAAAAATTAATAAAAAAATATTTAATTTATAAAAATAAAAGGAACAAGGTAAATTCTTGAGGCTGTTGTTGGTATTTACATATGGTGAAACAAAGGTTTCTCTCTCACCTCCGGTTTCTCTTTCACCCACC